GCACCCCAACAAGCAGCACAGGGGTGATCTCTAGTGCTTCTCACCTTAAAATTTCAAATGCCTTTTTTGGCGTGAAGATGTGCCATCATAACGTGGAGACTCTCACAGCAGCAAGGTGAAGTTTCTAGGTTCATGGGCCACCATTCAGCCACCAGCCCCTTGCTGCACCCCAAGCCCTTTCAGCACTTATGTGAGGCTCAGCTATTTGCAATAGAAAAGAAATTAATCTTCTGCTTTCCAGGAGGTGAGGTGCAGGATGTGGGCAGGCTTGGTGCTCCCCGCACACATTCCGTGGGTTCCTCTCTTGCCCACCTCGGTCTTCAAGCTGGTAGAGCAGAACCTGTAAGGTCCTAGCACAGACCTTGCAAGGGCGTGTACTGCCCTTCCAAAGGTAATTTCCATCAAGTTATGAGTCTCTATCCCCTCGCTTTTTCCCCACTCACGCTGGGTGCAGCAACAAGATGATGTTTCATTATTTACACTGCACATATTGGAAAGTATGATACCTGCTGCTCCAGCTAGAGAACCCCAAATGACATGGGAGCAAAGCATTCAACCTCAAATTAGCAGTTGGTTCCTAGTCCTACAAGGGCCTTCTTGCATGGAAACATGCTTCAGCCTTGGCAAGCCAACTCGTCTTTCTGTGTCCTGGTTCTGCATACCTGAAGGATGGAGGATTCAGTGTTACTCCATCTCGTTTGCTTTGCAAGTTGTGATGGAGAGGAGCCGTGGGGAGCCCTAGCTGGGCTTCTCGAGTGGGTCTGGGTACTGCCCCCATTAAGGGCTCTGCTTCCGGGTGGTGTAAGGGAAGCTGCAAACCTGTGCAGCCTGAAAACCTGTTAAAAATATCCATCATTAACCATAAACCAGCTAAAATTCATTAAGCTTTCTTGGCAGCATCCTGCTTCTTGATAGTAGTTGTGGTATTTCACAGGCATTGCAGCATAGGCTCTGCCAGCAGCATTTTTGTAGGAAGATGAGAGCCTCTCCCAGCCCTTAGGCTCACCAGGTTGGGAAGCATGGCCTGGTGGCAGGACTGGCTGCTAAAAATACAGCACTGTGAAACTGCTGGCACCTCCACTTCCCTCATTCACTGACTTGAGCCACAGAATGTCTGCTTTGCTTTGGCATGACTGGCAAGCCAGGACTTCTTCCTCTTCCTCCACCCTGCCAGGAAACCTATTATTTCAGAGAAGGGTGGAGGGAAGGGAGCAGGAGGAAAAGGGCTGGAGGCAGCAGAACGGACCAGGGAGGTGATGAACATCCTGGCATATGTGAGTTCTGGGAAGCAACAGGCAAAGGTGGGGGCAGCTCAGAAATGGGGTACACCACATGAAAAGGAAGAATGGGGCCATTCCTTGCACCCTTAATTCATAAGAATTTCTTGTGAAGGGGAGGAGTGACTAAGCTGTGAAAAATGGGTTTGTTCCTTTGCCCCACAGCTGGACCTGGGAAATTTTAAGGTGGACAGCATGTCAGTTGGTGAGGCTCAGTCCAGGAGGGAGCCTCATTACATGCACTGTGGATGGAGCGGCAAACCAGGACTGCACACATGCCATCATAAGGGTACTCATACAGTGATACCTCATCGTGCGGGGTACCATCCCATCACCTCTCAAGGACAGGCTGCCTTTTCCCCCCCTTAGGCAGCATTCGATGGGGACTTCCCCCCACTGTGTCAAGCAGGAACAGCATTCCTGAAAAAGCAAGCCTTGGGCCGGCAGGATCCAGCTGGAAAAGTCTAGCTGTCTGTGGAAGAAGCAATAAATCTCTGGAAGCTGGAAAATAGCTGTAAAGAGGAAACACTGGAGCCTGCTGCGCCACCTCTGCTGTGCCGGCAGGCTGTCCAGGGTGTGAGGTCCGGGGCCAGCCCTGTCCTGGGGAGCACTGGTGATGTGCCTCTGCAAGTGCTGTGGTGCTGGCAGGGGAAGGGCTGGCTGGGGAAGTCGGCTTGTGGAAAGCAGATCAAAGACCGACATGCTGCTGGCATTGGCTCAAGTTGCAGCTTTTAGATTATTGGTTTCATTAAGGCAGTCCCCAAAAATTTAAATGGAGAGCTGTGCTGAGCACTTGGAGTGTATCGTGACAAGTGATGGCCCGAAGCCTCTGCAATGTTGCTGTCCGACAAGCTGGGCACACAAAGAGCAGTGGCATAATCTGCACAAGATCACAGATATCTACAGCAGAAAAAAACAGGGATAGTATATGTATGAGAATGTGCAGCCTAGAGATGAGCATGACACTCATCAGTGGCTGGAGCTCTTCTGGCTCTCATATGGTCAAACAGCAGCAGTTGTAGGATGGAGGGGGAAGAAAATACCAAGGTTATATCTGGAAAAGGTTGTTTTATTAAAAATGACATTATCTCAAGCAAGGTACAGTGGAAGGCAGGGTTACTGTGGCACGCTAACAAGGTTTTCTCCCTCGTTTTCTTTCCTTTGGGAAGAAAGATGCCTTAATTATGTTCCATGCTTCTTGGTGGTGGAAGGATGTATGGCTTTCATGGAAAAAGTTGTTCATCATAGCCTAAACCCTGTTTTCATTAGTAAGTGAATGTCATTTTCTCTTAAGAAATCCAGCTGTTATTGGATAAAAGCTTCCATTCAGAAGTCCTCTATGCTCTGTTAAAAAAGCAAATGGAGTTGGGTGATGCGGGAGGGACTTGGGGTGTTCCTGGGGTGCATTCAGGATGAAACTGGGAACATCTGGAGTTGGTTCAGCTGGCTGTGTTAGGCAGACCTCACTGCTGAGGTTGGTTTGATGCATTAGAATAGGTTCTGTCTCTTCACCTGACGTTCCCAATGATTAAAAAATATCTCGAGGATAGCTTGCAGCCTGCTTTTGGTTCTGTCAGGCATTTTAGGGCAAATTTGATTGCAAAGGAGCTGCTGGTGTCACCCCAACCTCACCATGGGTGTCAGGGTGTGCTGGGGTGGGTACTGCTGGGTGCAGAGGGCAGCATGCCAGGGCGGAACAATGTGTCCTTGCAGGGGGAAAACCAAAACAAAAAGGGCTGCAGCCTTTTTTCTTTCCATCCCCCAGCCAGCACAGAAACACAGATCTTCCTCAGGATCTCTTCTTCGCTAGCAACCACCAAGAGACCTTTACTTTAAGAGTGGCACTGATTAATTTGGGGACATACTCTTTCTTCTGGGAGGATAAACATGAACTTCGTTACGCCCTCAGACAATGAACGAGCCACACCAGGCTGGATTTGAGTAACTTTCTGCAAAGCTACAACCTGCCTTATTTGGAGCTGGACTTGAGCACAGACTGGCTTTCGTGACTTTTCTCCATTGCCAGTGTTTGGAAAACCTCAGGCTATCCCAAGTGCAGGAGAGATGAAGGACCATGCCAGCGGGGAAGTTGCATTAGTTGCTGTGGGAGAAGTGTTAAAAGCGGATTACTTTGGTGGCAAATTGGGGAAAGGCTTGCAAAAATCTTCCCTCCCTCTCCAGGAGATTGTGGGGATTTTCTCCCTCCAGTAAGTGGAAAAGCCCCAAGGTCAGCTTGCCCTGTGTTTGGCACAAATGGTGTGGTTTTGCCCCAGCTTCAGTGGTACCCCTGTAAAAATCTCGTGACTGGGATTTGTAAAAATGAGCAAGGAGGAAACCACCACCTGACCTCCCAAGGGGCAGAGCCAAGTCAAGCTCCCATCGACAGCCTGACTTACAGATTCGAGTCCTCCTGTGTTCACTGAGGCTCTGCTGTGCTTGCACAACTGGAGTCTACACTTATACTGAAGAAACTTTTTTTTTTCTTTAATGTGACCTTTATGGTGCCTATCATGCCTGTAGCTGACCTGTCTCAGACCCTTTTAGAAAAGCATGTCTCCACTTCTGTACTCTTTGGTAGTTTTCTTCCCTTTTTTAAGATGAATGGCTTCCAAGGATTTAGGACACTCAAACTTAAATTGGCGTTTGAACAGGTGCTTCCAGCCTTTCACAGCAGTGATATTGAATTCTTAAGGGTTTGGGGTTTTTTCAACATGTACTTATTTTTTTCCCCTCTCTCTTGTGCTTTTAAGGAGGAGGGGTGTCTTGGAGAAGTCCTGCTGGAAATGCTCTAGTTTGAGTCCCTTGAGTCCCTGCTAGAGTACCCCCATTCTGCTCCCATCTTCCACTGCCATTCCCAGCCCCTCCCTGAAAGAGAAAACAGTGAGGAGCTCAGTCATAAAACTTCCCATTGTTTGTGCATAAATATCCCAGTGGCAAGCTGATGCTCCATGCGCAGAACATCTCCCATCTTTGAGGTGTGTTTTTATCCTTGCCCTGAGGGTCAGTCTTGCGTGTTGGTGTGCACACGTGTGTATGCAACTGTGCTGCTCTTCTGCTGTTCAACAGCGTGGGCAAGGCATCAGTATCAGCCTGGAGGCCTTCAAAAGCAGTGTGGTTGTGCCTTGGCCTGAAGTGAGGCCTTGCTCCACTTCAGTCCCTGTATTACGACATTAGGGAAAGCCATATGTCCTAGAGGAACACTAGGTCTGTTCAGACTGGAAGACTGCCCCTGGGTGGGAAGTAGTGTGCATGCAAGACTTGGGGACAGAGGGAAAAATGGATGGTTCCCCTACACTGAAATGAAATGGGGTGATAACAGCCCATTGGAAAAAGGGAGTAATTGGGGTTGATCCTAACTTCTGTTGAAAAGCTCTCCTAAAAATGTCAGTGGCACATCTCATGCTGCTTGAGTGAGGCTGCGCCTTCCATTTTAATAGCATAATAAAATAGCTCTTGGGAAAGAAATCAGCTGCAGGAACTGGAAAGGGCTTTGCACATCCCCAGAATGAGGGGTCTTCTCATACAGTAGGGAGGATCATGTGGCTTATGTGGTATGGGGCACAAAACATTTTGTAGGGGTGGACTGATGTTTAGGAAGGATGTTCTTGTACATTTGCAGGAAGATGAAAAGCGAGCCTTCTGCTCCCACCTGAAAACTGCCATTCTGGATCCCGTGTGGCTGGAACAGTGGGTAACCCTTGCTTCCCTCTGCTTTCTCCCCAGCTGGCTGGAGGCATCATCCTGGGAGTGGCCCTGTGGCTCCGGCATGACTCGCAGACAACGAATATCCTCTACCTGCAGCTGGGGGAAAAGCAGGCCCCCAACACCTTCTATGTTGGTGAGTAGGTCTGGGAATGCTGGCATTGCTGTGTGGGTGTTACACCTCAGGGTGACCTGCAGTGTATCCAAAAGCAGGGCAGAAAGCTCCAGGTGAGCAACAAGGAGGTCAAAATAAAAATGCCTCCTGCTGCCCTCATACTCTCCAAAATATCCCCTGCCACGCCAGCCAAAACCTTCAATAAGTGTTGGCTGTGGCCGAAGCACAGAATCCAAAGTCACATCAGCTAAAAGTGTAAAATGACATGTTGCATGCAGTGGGTTTTCTTCAGTGCCGTTCTCCACTGCAGTCTCTCCCAGAGCACATTTGGGAAGAGGGGGGACTTCTTGGAAGCTTGTCTTGTTTCCTAAAGGGGTGTAAAAGTAGCTGACGGAGTGCCTGGCAGACGAAAGTGAAGCTTGGTGAGTGCATGACTCATGTTCTCCAGGAAGGGCAGGTGGAGCCTCTGTGTGTTACAGTTAAGCTTAGCATGATTTTTGTTAATTTGACAGCATGCTGGCTTGCTGGAAGATGAAAACCCCTATTTTTGCCCTGTTCTCCAATGATCCCTCGCAGACAAGGGGGAGCAGCTTGCAGGAGGGGCTGGCTGCCAGGCAGGGGCTGGCTTGGAGCGCAAACCGACGGGGCTGGGAACATCGTCTCATCTGATGTCCTATTCTCACCTGTAGCTAAAATTACTTTCTGGAAAGGTTTTCCATTGTGTTTCCCTGCTTGCCCATGAAATGGCATGCCTGAGCCCTCTCCCTGGCTGTGCCTGATTACAGAAGATGCTCCTGCTGTAAATACTGGTGGGTTTCCCTCTCCTGCTGTCTCTACTCTGATGCCTCACACCCAGCATTTCCCCTTTGTAGATCTCAGTTTTAAAGAGAGAAAACAGAACTTGTATAAAGTTAAACTCTCCCCTTTCCAGGAACCAGCCCAAACATCTCCTTTTTTTGGGGGGCCAACAACTGATGTCTCCCTAGTTAACACTTTCTCCCCAAACTTGGGGGACCTGGAGCATGGGGTAGAGTCCTTCTCTCCCACCTGCTGGGCATCTTTTACTCTTCCACCCCTTTTTATTTTGTCTTTGTCCTCGGCCTTTGCTATTTAGAAGGCAGTGGGGAATGAACCATGGGTCCCACCACCACACTGGCTTTCCAACACCCGTGAATGGCCCATGATTTGAGGCTGGCTGTCTTTTAAAAGTTATATTCAGCAACAGATTGGCCTGGATTCCTTCTGGCAGCTGTAATTTCCATGCAGTAATAACAGAAGAGCATTTCTTTCAGTTGCTGCCTCTCCCAGCCAGACCTCTGGAGTCTGAAGGCTGGGATTTCTTTTTGCTTTTTTTTTTCAACCCCTATTTTTCCTCCCTCCTACGACTGATACTCCCTCGTTTTTCTCGTCTGGCATCCAATGTACACACGCACACAATGTTCCAGCTTTGGGAATGGGAACATCTCTGAGCTTGGCCTCCAGAGCTGATTTCCCCACCCCCGCCCCTTGCAAACCACTTTTTGGTGTCTGGCACAGGGCGCTGGTCCTGGGATCTGTCAGGAGGCTTTTAAAGGCTAGCCAGGCTCTGCCACGGCACTGCAGGACAGGGGGAAGCAATAAACACTGTTAGAGGAGGAAAACTTCCATCATGGGCTTGGTACCAAGTGCGAAGGGGAAGTAGGAAAGCAGCGGTTTGGTGTCTCCTTGTTTCTCTCTGTGTCCTTTTCCCTGCCTCAAAGGTGCAGCTGTTTGTTACAGACTCTTTTCCCAGGGCATCTGTGTGTTACCAGATGGGGAAAAATAACGAATGCAGCTGGTTGGCATGTGGGATTTGAGGGCAATGGGGAAGTAGAAGAAAGAGGATATGGGGAGCAGGGCAGCTACAGGGTACCAGGTGTGATGCTTATTTGCCTTCAGGCTGCTGCAGGAGCAGGAGGAGAGGAGCAATCCTTGCTCTCAGCTTCCATACAGGACTGTCGCAGCAGCCATCCCTGCAGTCCCCCCGGGTGCAGGCAGCTGTTCCCCCTGCTCGCCTATCCAGCCCACAGGGAGGGGGCTCCTGGGGGCTGGAGTTTCCCACAAGTGCTACCCCTCCTCCCCAGCACTTTGGCACTGCATCCAACGAGTTGTCTTGTGGGCTGGCTTGGGAGGTTATTAAACAAACCCTTGTTCATGGGCTTTTCCTCAGCACGGCGTGCAAACTGTCTGATCCCCTAACCACTTGTTGCAGTCTTGGCTTTTGGCACTTCCATTTTGGCTGCGGACCCAATGCTCCAGCAAATGGGAAGTTAACTGCTTCAGTGCTGTAAAGATTAAGTGGGACGAGGGATGGGGATAGCTGGAGCACAGTAGTTTCATGCTTTCATGATTATAAAGGAAATTACTTGCTCTTCGTCTGAGCTAGGCTTATGGTCTGATAGGCATTTATTTGCTTTATTTGTATTTGAAAAACTAAAATTCTTCTTGCCTTTGTATAATACTACACCTGGAAAGCTCTGTCTCTCTGGAGGTTGGGAAGGTGTTGGTCACAAGGCAGAAAACATCCTTCAGGATAGCTAGAAGCATTGATAAGTTGCTAACAACTGGTTAATCACTTCTCAGGTACTTATTGACCCTGCACATAAAGTGCCATTAAAAAATCACAAATAAACAACAAAACTGTGAATCAATGTGTTATGAGAGCCCATAGCAAAAGGCTGAGCTGGTCTCTCTCTGCAGATACCAGTACAAACTGGAACAGTCTGATCTCTACAACAAGTTAGTGCTGTGGTGTTACCAGTTTTATGAGCCCCTGGGGTTCTTAAAGAGGCAAGTGACACTGGACTTACTGCTTTTGTCCTTTCTTGGTGGGATGACAGTGAAGATAATGTGGGAGGAAAAAGCCAGGTTCCCCATCCTTCAGGGATTTGGTTATGTGATGCCTGGAGATGGCTGCTGTGGGTGAAATGCTTTGAGGAGGTTGGGGACAAAAGCCTCAGCTCTTACTTCCCTTAAATCCCCATGCCAGGATTTCACATTTTGCCCTTGCTGGGCTGCCCATGTGCTGGGAGCATCACTGGGTGCTCGCCCCTGCTGCCTGCCCTTCCTGTGCTTTCCCTCAAGCTGCTTGGCAAGGAATGGAGCATGGCAGCTGGATGGTCTCGGCTTCACTCTGTCCTGCCAGATCCAAAATAGGAAATCTGCCTCCAACAGCTCACAGCAAGTGACAGGGTGATACGACCAGTGGCTCTAATTAGCTCGGCCCTGGGAGTGGGGCCAGCCACGATGAAGAGTGACTGAGGGTGGTTTTTCCAGAGCTGGGGTGCGGTTTCCCTGCAGTTTTCAGGGTGAAGAAGGGGTTCATTTTGCTCCCATTTAGGTTTTTTGTGTTTTATTAGTTAATCTGCACTGCAGGGCAATGTCTCCTCCCTGGAGCATGGTGGCACCAACAGCCCTGGGGAGGGGCGTGAGGTTTTGGGCAGGCATACGGGTTAAACTTGGCCACTGAGGCTGCTGCCACTGCTCCCCTTCCCTGCCATCCTGCTGGGTATCACTGGCCCAAAAGAAAGGCAAGAGGAGGTTTTGTGTTTTTTGGTGGGGGGAGTTCCCTAGATACCAGGTTGATGACTGGCTCCCAAGCTGGTCAGGCAGCAAAACCTGAGAAAGACAAGGCAGAGGACAGCTGAGGGCAGCAATGGCTTCAGACTAATGGTGAGGTGGTGAGCGTGCCTGCAAGGCGGAGTGCTGCCGAGGGGCTGAGGAGAGGCCAGGGAGACCAGCTAACGGGAATGCAGGCTCTCTAACAAGGTGAATCACAGACCATCTTCACCATCCTCCTCTGTACACACACAGTTCAGGATAATGATTTCTGCCATGGAAATGAGTTCAAGCTGCTTTTTCACGCAGACTGGGCTAGAATAAATGGGCCAGAAAGCACAGGGAGGCTTTGAAGTCTTTCTCACAAATGAGTGCACATCTGAGTTGAACTGCAGCTGCTGGCAAGCTTTCATAGGTGTCTTCTGGATTTTTGGAAGTCATGTCATGAGGTTTTGCTGGGTCAGGGAGATGTGACCCTTGCAGAGAGCAGGGCCTGCTAAGCAGCGGTGCATTGGTGGGTAGGCATCAGGACATGTGTCTCATCTTCCCCAGGTTTGCCCATTGTCCTTACAGCATGTGAGGGTGCTTTGTCTGCTCTTGCCAGGGGTCCTAGATGGGGCCATCAGTGCAGAGCATCCCAGCCCATCATCCAAATAGACCTGCATTGGCTAAGTGATCATGGAGGAACTCTGCCTTCTATCCATAACAGCAGCTTAATTAGCCTTTTCAGGACTGCCTTGGACAAAAAGCAGTGATTTCTGAGGTTTCAGGGCGGTTTTCATTGCAGAGGGGGTTGTGCAGAGCTCTGATGTGTTACAAAGGCTCTGGAAGTCAGCAGTGCTACAGTGAGTGTGGACCTACCATGAGCAGTGAGAAAGTCTTGGTTTCTGTTGGTGCTCACATCCTTGTCCCCATCCCTCTGGAAATCTTAGGCATCTTTAAGAGATGGTGCCAACTTCTGTATATCACGGGGTTAGACTTAACAGCAAATCTTTTACTTAACCTGTTGTGAAAGGGCCAGAGAAGAGCCTGAGAGTCCTGGTCTCTAGGTCCTGTAATGAACACTAGTGAAAAACCACCTTCAATTTTGGCATGAGGTGCTGCAGTGATCCCTGCAGATGCATGCAGCTGGTTCAGGACAGGGTTCTTCTCTCACCCATTTGTGCTCTTCTTTGTCAAGGCTCCCTGTGTCGGAGATTTGCCAGCAGACACATGAGCAGTGGCCAGGCTTGCGTGCTTGGCATTCGAAACCAAGGTTTACATTTGGCCTTGGACCACACTGAAAATGGATTATTTAAAAAATAATACATGTGTTTTTAAAAATATAAGTACATGCATTTTTCTGTCTTGGAAATAAACTTATTTACAGTTAAGGACAATTTAATTATTTAGTCTCTTAAAGGAAAAAAAAGGTAGTTTTTTTACTTGTTCTGGATTTTTCTCTA